GATTCGGAAATGGGTTGTTTGTGGTTGTGATTGTATTTGTGGAACAAACTCTGGTTGGGAACCAAAATTAAAAGGATCAAAATCTTGGTCAAATTGTGGCTGTGTTTGTGGAAATGGTTGTGTAGGACGTGGTTGTTGGATAAGTTGTGGAAAATAGGGAATCATACCCCCGTAGTGGTATAAATGAGGTGAATAAACCGGTTGATCGAGTGAAGGTCTTGGAGTTGTGAGTTTTCTAGTGAGTGTTTTTTCGTTGGTTGGATTTTTGGAGGATGACATTTTTTGTGGGTTTGAAAAGAAAGATGGTAAAAAACATAAAATATTGATGAGTTTTTTTGGTTAAGTTGATAAAGTATTTATAGTATTGGTAAAAAAAATATTTTTTTGAAAAATGACAGTTTAAAAACGGTAAACCACGGACCAATAGAAATGAAGAAGGAAACGCTCCCTGGAAGGCCGTGTTGGATATTTTGGGACCACTAATAAATGTATATAAATAATGTTATCATTAATTTTATATTATTATGGAAATTATATAAAATTGTTGATGGACCGATTTTATTAATAAATAAAGATATACACTTACCATGTTTATCTTGTGGGTTGAGTTCCGGTTTGACTCAAGATCTCCTAAATCCCTAATATCTCTCACATTCGGTTATATCTCCATCTATATAAATACGTGATGAGAAGCAGACTTACAATATACAAAAATACATACAAGAAAATCGGTTTAGGGTTTGCTGTGGGATTTAGAGAGTGTTCTTGAGATCAACCGGAAAACTCTTCCTAGTCTCTAGATCAGAAAATCTCAATGGAACAAGGTATGTAATCATTCTTTCATGTTTAAGTTTTCTTTTAATCAGATTCGAGATTAAAGATCCAAGATTATGTTTCCGCATTTATGTTTTTGGGTATTAAAATAACCAACAATTGGTATCAGAGCCAACTCGAATCTTTTATCAGAAACTTGGATTGGTTTTAGTTCTTTTGATTTTCGAACTAAAACATACCTTTAAGATATATGTTATTTTACTCTTCTCGATCCTGCCGACATTTTCTTTCTTAAAATCAGACGGCATGATATGGTGATTTGTATGTATTTCTTTATGTGTATATATCACGAACATTAGTGATTTAGCAATCATGGGATATAGCTTGACGTATTTTATGTTTTGGTTTTGGCAATATTAGCATGAAAACTTTTCTTTTACTGTGTGTTCTCATAATATGATATATTATTATCATAATAAAATATAATAACACATGGTTTGGAAACAAATAAACTATAGTTTACTTAAGATTATTCATGTGTTGTATTTGTAATTATGATATTGACAAAAGTTACGAAATCAGTAATTTTAGTACCACTAAATTTATGTGTGGAAAAGACTTTTATCATATTCGTTTTATCTCTTAAACAAATCTCTTGCTGTTTTGTAAAGATTGATTTTTTTTTCTTTTTATTATTATATGTGTTAAAAGCCTGGAAGAGATTTGAGAATTGATATATATATATATATATATATCTATATATATATAATATATATATTATATATTATATATATATATATATATATATATTAAGTAGCTATATCTCATGCACTTAAACCCCATTTTTGGCGTTTTATGAGGCTTATTGGAGTAATTTCTCTACATGGTATTTTTTTTTCTTAAAAATAACATTTGAAGAGATAAAATAATTTATCTAAAGAGTTTTGGGGTGTTTAAAGAAATGGCTGGACCTGATCAATTTCTATCAGGTGATAGATTACTTTGGTAATAATATGTGAAAATTAATATACATTAAAATATATGGTTTCATAAAAGGAAACCATATATTTTTATGGAATACTTGAACCTTTTGGCTTATGAACATCATTTTTTTGTTAGTGATTGCAATAATATTGTTACCAAAGTAACCTCTATTATTTTAATCAATTTTGGTTATACGATGTTGCTTATGTGAATTGTGTTCCATTTAAAGGTATACCTTATACACAATGTCACACTTTGACAAATATTTCAGGTTATCAATAAACTAAAATTATGACATGTTTATTTATTTTCAGAGTAAATTGATTGACACAATATATCGCCAAAGTGATCTCTTTTGTGAAAATTAATTTACAAAGAACTTAAATTTTATGGTTTGTGTTTATTAATGCGGATATTAATCGACCCAAAGGTAAATTAATATTTGGCCGGATAAACACGTGTTTGATGATAAATATGCGACAATTTTTAGGTTACATGTCATTAATAAGTCAATCCAAAGAGGGGCTTATTAATTGACATGATATATTGTCAATTCTTATTATAAAAATTTATAGTTTATGTGTTTATTAATGCGGGTATTAGCCTACCCAAAGGTAGACTGATATTTGGCCGAATAAACATATATGTGGTGATAAACATGTGACGATTTTTTGGGTCCATGTGATTAATAAGTCAATCCAAATAGGCGCTTGTTAATTGACATGATTTATTGTCAATGTGTATCTCTAAAACAAGGATATCTCTTGCAAGTTAGTATTACTGTCCAAAGACTTGATATTAATGTTGTGTCGATAACTTGTAAAGATGTCATAAATTGAATTTATTGATTACGGTTTATGGATTAATGAACATAAAAATAGATTTGCTCATGTTTGAATTATAGTATTATATCTGCTAACATTGAATACATTTATGATTCATGTAATCAATGAGATTAACTTTAAGGAATGGAATGAGGGCATCATGTTAGTTCTCAATCGCATGGATATTGACCTTGCATTTTGGATAGAGCAACATTCTTTGAGGGTGTTGAGTTTGGGGGAGAAACAAGGTTAAAACATTGTCCTTAAGAAGGAATCAATCTTGATTCCTATTATTGCTTTTGATAGTATGCAGATTATGAATTAGTGATTGACAATGTTATTCAATCTCCTATTCTGAATACACAAACTCAACAACCTCAACTTTGGATATCCTATGCGTGGTACCACATTTTTCATCAATTTATTATCTCTTTTGGTTTTGAGGAAAATACAGTAGATGGTTTTGTGTACCACAGATTAAGTGGGAGTAAATTTATCTTTTTGGTTTTGGGCAAATATCTACGCAACCCAAGTTTGGATCATAAGAAAGCAACCAAATGGATTTCGAGATATCTATATATAAAAAAAAGGCTATATGCTCAACTATAGGAAATCAGATATTTTGGAGATCATTTTTTATTAAGAATCTGATTTATTAGATGCCAAAATGGTTTCCGATCCATATCGGGATACTTTTACATTTTAGCATGATGAGCCATTTCATGGAATAGACTTCGGTAGCTTCTTCCATAATGGCAACATAATTTGTAGCGTGGAATATGGTTGCAGAAATTTATCACGAGGCTACACATTATTGGTATTGAAAGACCACTAAAGTTGTGATAATAAGTCAACAATGTTATATTCCAACAACAGAAGTTCGATTAAGTCAAATCATATTGACATCAAGTTTTCTTCTGTTAACACAATAGTGCAAAATGGATATATATATATATATATATATATATATATATATATATATATATATAGCACATATGAACAAACTCCATGAAAGCGGATCCGCTCATAAAGGGATTACCTCCCTAGGTCTTTCATGAGCATACTACACACGTTGGTGTGATATTTAGTTTTAGTGGGAGTTTTATGGTGCTATATGTTTTGTTTAAGAACAAGTATGTTTTCTGTACAAAATTAAGAATTTGGTTAACTCCATTATTAGTAGCACTTATTTGAAGTTTGATCTCACTTCAATCTAAAGAGGAACTCGTTTGAAATCTATTTAGATTTTAAAACCACACATCATGTTTAATCTATGTCGTTAGTTATATATGTATATGTGACCATTGATGAGTTTAGTTGCGTAAATTGTAACGAAGACCGCTTTGATCATATACTTGTATGATTAGTAGACAAGATTGCTTAAGGGTACCAATACTATGGTAACATTCATTAAAGCGCTTATACAGTTATATATACATTCATGCATTCGTGGTCCAGTGGGAGATTGTTGGATATTTTGGGACCACTAATAAATGTATATAAATAATGTTATCATTAATTTTATATTATTATGGAAATTATATAAAATTGTTGATGGACCGATTTTATTAATAAATAAAGATATACACTTACCATGTTTATCTTGTGGGTTGAGTTCCCGGTTTGACTCAAGATCTCCTAAATCCCTAATATCTCTCACATTCGGTTATATCTCCATCTATATAAATACGTGATGAGAAGCAGATTTACAATATACGAAAATACATACAAGAAAATCGGTTTAGGGTTTGCTGTGGGATTTAGAGAGTGTTCTTGAGATCAACCGGAAAACTCTTCCTAGTCTCTAGATCAGAAAATCTCAATGGAACAAGGTATGTAATCATTCTTTCATGTTTAAGTTTTCTTTTAATCAGATTCGAGATTAAAGATCCAAGATTATGTTTCCGCGTTTATGTTTTTGGGTATTAAAATAACCAATAGGCCGTAGTGCGGCCTAGACCGCACCTGGACCGCACCTAGGGGGCGGTGTGCTTGATGATGTGGTGGATGGAGTGCGGCCAAGACCGCACCCACTCCGTCCGGTCTTAGGACAAATGCAACGATTGTCTTAGTCATAAGTCTTTGATACATGGCTTGAAACCTTTGAAAACTGATGTCAATTATAAATGTAAAGACTATTTTTTTTAAATAGTTCAAATATAATGATACATATAAAACTAAATCAAAATGTCAAATTAAAAAGAAATTTGACCAACAACTATCTTTGTTAGTTAAAAGGAATATTAATTATATGTAACTAACAATAACAGTAAAATGATGAGAAATGAACAAATTTATTATACGTAACTAGCAATAACTAGTAGTTATTCCCATATTCATTCAAAAGATGATGTACAATTACTTACAAACCCTCATATTCATCTCTTCTTTACAATTCTCCAACACTTTTACACATTTTCAAAGTTCATAACCAGGGAATCTAGCTTCATCAGGATTCATCATATCTAAGAAAAGATACGCCATGCCTCCAACTCCTTCAAACAACGAAAACGGATGATCACCTTTATGCATCTTCTTTTTCCTCATAAGCTTCACTCCTCTACCAAGTAAAAAACACGCAAGCAACTTGGCCCTATTCAACATCTCCTCATTTTTTGTCAACCTATAAAGTGCCAAAAACACATAAACATTCCCACTAATCCCATGACAAAGTCCAACTCTTTTCAATAACCCACGTTTCCACAGCCTCAATAGCTGCATCCACAAACTCCTTATCTCCAAAAACCTAACCAATTTACATCTTTCAAGTTACTAAAAATTACTTCTAGATTAATTTCTTAATAGGTTATGTGAGAAATCACTGAGCATATTCAATTACCTCAGCAGCTTTGACAAGGGTGAGAGCCATTCCAGATGCTCCTTGACACCATTGGACAAAAATATCCTCCCGATTATCTTCTTTAGAAGGATAATTCCCACTAGGGAATCTAGTATTAATCAAGTACTTAAGGCTCTTCTTCACATCCTCTTGTACATCAGGAGTCAAATCAAAATCACTACTACAGAAAGCATTTGTTGATGCGGTTAAAATAATTAATTAGTGCGGTTATAGAACCGCACCAAAAAATATCGCATTAGAAAATACCCTTATTTGATGATGCGGTTACAAAACCGCACCAATAAATAACCAAAATCGCACCAAAAAACAATATTGGAATAATACAAATCGCACCAAAAAACAATAAAAACCGCTCCAAATAAAGAAGCAATACCAAAAAAAAAGCCTCCCACATTCGCACCAAAAATAAGATTTTGTTCGGGTGCATAAACTTCCGATCAATGGTGCTCGTTGCAGGTCCATTTGGATGGTGGGAGGGCAAATCCATCCTCCTTGAAGCTATCAGAACAGGTCCATTTGCAGGTCCATCTAGAAGAGATCAAACACCCACCGAAATCACCATTATTTCCGACACCTGTTCGCTGTCGAGAACACAACAATCACCAAGGCACCATTTTTCCACCATTAACCACCGTACAACATCTTTAAATCGACCACTTTAACAACCGAGCTCACAAACAATAAACCACCACCAGTTCACACCATCACTATCTGCCTTACCTTAGCCGGAAATCACCCCTTACCATCTTCACTTCCTGAAAACAACTCCTACATCTTCACGAGTCTGCTGCACCTTCGGTTCACTATCTCGCTGTTAGGAACCGGACCGGGTACACGCAGCGAAAACACACTATCACACACACACAAACTCACGAGAAAATAAAGCAATAAAGAACACAAGGATTTTACGTGGTTCGGATTCGGTGCAAATCCTACATCCACGGGCTGCAACTAGAGAATTTTATTAAAACTCACAAGATTACAATTGGCTTGACACTCTACACTTGATGTTCTCTCAAGTTTTTGCACACCAAATATGCAAAACATACATGCATATATATAGGTGAATGTTTGCCATGTGAAAACAGAAAGAGTTGTAACCAATTTAAAGTCTACCAACTTCAAGTTTGAACATGTTGAATGCACCACTTATTTTCCAACTTTCAGTTTGAATTTGATTCTTTTATTTCACATGCATAGCCACATGTTTTCAACCTTTCATATTTTACCTAACAATCTCCCACTTGAAAGTTTGAACAACATGGTCCGTCTCTGTCATCCAACTCCAGTAATCTTAAAACAACCAAGTCTTCTAAGCCTCCAGTTCCTAAGAACAAGCTAAACTTAGTCCTATTTCTCTAATTGCAGCCGCCCCTCATCTTCAAGTACTAGAAGGGCCAGTTGAAGCTCCCACTAGCTCCAACTCAGTCGTGGCTAATCCCACCACCGACTCATCCTCTGTCTCAACCGGTTTGGACACTCCACCAGATCCATAGATACACCGAGGACCACTAACACTCTCCAAACTTTGCAAACTTCCAACAAGAGAGAATTTTCCAGTTTTAGTCTTCAAAACCCAACGGCTCTTTGTAACTGTACCCGGAACACACCCCGTGCTCCCACTGTCACAGAATCCCCTGAATGGTTTAGAATTTCCGACTCGTTCAGCTAACATCCCCTTGGCTCCAGAATTCATGTTTGCAAAATGAACTCTCTTAGTCGTAGATTTAGCGAACCAGATTTTGTCTTGTTTAACAGGGACGGTCATACTTCCCTCAGCAGGTACCTCAACCATATACAATGACCCACACTTCATACCACGAGCAATCACCAGATCACCATTGACCACACTCCATTTACCACTACCAAACCTTACTTCCAGTCCTTGTTTATCCAGCTGACCAACAGAAATCAATTTCTTCTTCAGCTCCGGAATCACCTTGACATCCTTCAGGCTCCATGTAGTTCCCAATGAAGTAACCAAATCAATATCTCCCATGCCCGTTACCTGAAGCATCTCGTCATTTGCTAACCGTACCTTTCCAAAATCTCCTTTTTTTAGATTCACCATCGTTTCCCCGTTGTCCATGGCGTGAAACGAAGCCCCTGAATCCATGACCCAAGAGTCCACAGAACTTTCCATATTGAGTATCAGTGCATCATCCTCAGACACACTCTCAGCACCAGCAATGTTTAATTCTTTCTTTGGACATTGACTCTTAACATGTCTCACCTCCTGGCAGTTCCAGCACTTCACATTCTTCTTAGTTCTAGATGAACTTTTTCCCCGACTCCCACTGCTTCCACTATTCCTGCTATTCCCTCTACCTCTTCCGACATTAATAAATCAGAAGAGGAAGATCCACCTTGATTCTTGCGTCTGATATCCTCGCCTAGAACCAAATCTCTAACCCCTTCAAAAGTCATACCACTGGTCCCCACGGAACTCGTAACAGCAGTAACTGTTCCGGACCAGCTATCAGGTAGAGAAGCTAGTAGCAGTGATGCTTGAGTCTCGTTATCAAATTTAATTCCCACAGATGATAATCTGGACAGAATTGAATTTAGATTATTAATGTGAACCGTAACTGAGCCTTCCTCATTCATCCTTGTAGTGAACAACTCCTTCATCAAGAATACCTTGTTAGCCGCCGATGGTTTCTCATACATATTTGACAGAGCCTCCATCATACCACGCGCCGTGGTTTCATTCATGATGTTGAAAGCAACTCTCTTCGTCAATGACAATGTAATAACCGCCTTGGCTTTCTTGTCCTTTGAGTTCCACGCATCTTCAAAAGCTTTTTCCATTTTCTCCGGTTTGTCTCCGAGTACCATGTCCAAGTCTTTCTGACATAGCAATGCTTCTAATTGCATTTTCCACCAGCTAAAATCAGAACCATTGAACTTCTCGATTACCACCTTGTCTTCAGCCATTATGACAAACAAGATACAAATCAGGTACACTCGTGCGTGATAAAAAAAAACGATCGTACCCTCCAAACCTCGCTAATCTGGCTCTGATACCAGTTGTTAGGAACCGGACCGGGTACACGCAGCGGAAACACACTATCACACACACACACAAACTCACGAGAAAATAAAGCAATAAAGAACACAAGGATTTTACGTGGTTCGGATTCGGTGCAAATCCTACATCCACGGGCTGCAACTAGAGAATTTTATTAAAACTCACAAGATTACAATTGGCTTGACACTCTACACTTGATGTTCTCTCAAGTTTTTGCACACCAAATATGCAAAACATACATGCATATATATAGGTGAATGTTTGCCATGTGAAAACAGAAAGAGTTGTAACCAATTTAAAGTCTACCAACTTCAAGTTTGAACATGTTGAATGCACCACTTATTTTCAACTTTCAGTTTGAATTTGATTCTTTTATTTCACATGCATAGCCACATGTTTTCAACCTTTCATATTTTACCTAACACTCGCCACCTCCGACCACCTACCATCTTCACCACTAACCACCGAGAACACCGCCCGTAGAGCACCTACCTTTTGCCGAGAACCATCCATGCGTCATCGTCTCCTACATACTTCCAATTCACCACCATTATTCCACCTTACACAACCCGATGCCACCAAACATAAATCAGAAAAAGAAAAGGAAGAAGAAAAGAAATTGGTTTATATATATACCTACCATCTCCACCACTAACCACCGAGAACACCGACCACAACCCCTGCCTTTGCCGAGAACCATCCAAGCACCACCATCTCCTACATATTTCTGATCCGCCACCCTTGTTCCTTCTTAAACAACTTGACACCACCGATCGAACGTGAAGCAGAAAAGGAAAAGAAGGAAGAAGAACAGAACTGTTTCGTATGTGTTTTGTTTTATTTGCAAAGGGGGAAAAACACTCACACAATAAGTAGGGTACTGGTGCTTTTATGATGGGATCCCCATTCTTTAATGATGCGTTTATCAGATTGGAGAGTAGGAGGGAAATGAAAATTTTGGTTTGTAAGAAAATCAAAAGTTTGAGGGAAATGAAAAATTAGAATGAAATTTTAGAGGGAAAGATTAAACAAATGGTGCGGTTACCCTATATTTTTTGAGGCGGTTTTTATCTATTAAATGTGTTTAATAGTGCGGATTCAAGCTAACGCATCAAATAATGCATTTTTAATGTCTTTTAATGCGGATATAAGAAAACCGCTCCAACAAATGATTTAAATGATGCGGTTTCTTAGTTTATCAATGCGAAAGTGTTTTAATGGTGCGGTTTTAGGCTCTCACCGCACCAAAAAAGAAAAAGCCATCGCACTATTAAATACGTTCTGTACTAGTGAATGCATCAAAACATGCAAAATCCCAGCTAAACCATCAGCTGCACCCAAATGTTTAGTGCCAAAATATGTATACATCAAAGGGCATCTTGTTCCAGCACCCAATCTTCTTCCATTTTCAATCATCTTATTCACTAATCTATTCTGTTTTAACATAATAAAATGGTTCTTTAATTAGTGTATTGTATGTGTAAATTAAACTCAAAAGAGAAATTAATCCATATGAATTATGAAATGAATCTTACAGTGTAGGATGAAGGAATCACTCCATCACCTAAGTGCTTATTCAAGAACAGACATGCCCATAAGTGTCCAGCTCTCCCGTGTAACATTCCATCTCGCCTATAATCCTTTACTTCAATCTGTTCCATTGTTATATAAATTAATTACGTACCATTATGCATAAGAAAGAAAATCTGTATATGTTACTATATTACCTTTTTGAATCGGGCCAAATAGCGTTCAATCATCTGTGTATTTCCTTGGTACTTTGACACAACAGCACCAAGAGCACAAACTCCAGCAGTTCCACGTAAAAAGGTTATACTCCTATCATTAATATTGATTTGGAGAGCATGTTAAAATATGAATTTATATATCAAGATAATGAGACTGGAGTAATATAGAGGGTACCTATAGATTCCAGAAGCAGAGTCACAAGCTTTGATAATGTCAGCAGAGGTGTTGAGATCATCCCTGTTGCGATTCACTAGAAAATTTTTCAAGAGCAAGAAAGCAGTCCCCGGAGTACCATCATAAAGAGTAGAGTTGACGAATATTCTTCTTTCTCGGGTTCGCCATGTGCCCCTCACAACCTGTTAAACATTTCCACAAACAAATGGTAGGCATGCACACAAATGCACAAAACCAAGAAATTAACATGCAGTTCCCACTAAAGATTCAGTATCTATAACCATGAGAGAGAGAGAGAGAGAGAGAGAGAGAGAGAGAGAGAGAGAGAGAGAGAGAGAGATTGTACAGATTCTTTCTGATATAGGGCGGATTGTCTGAATTTGCTACGGAGAGGGGAGGCACGAAATTTAAGAAGGTTCAAGATAAAATCTTGAGACTCTTTTGCAATAACCTCGCTTCGTTCACTATCTCCATCTACTGTTGACGTTTCTTCTTCGAAGTCTCGCATGAAATTCTCAAAGTACCGGTCTGTCATTTCTCCGACGATGGCTTACTGCGGCACACACTGAGAGAGAGAGAGAGAGAGAGAGAGAGAGAGAAAGGGGGTATGAAGAAGAAGATATCTATGGCGAAGAACTTGTTGCTGACATGAAAATGGCGAATATTACGATAGGAGAATTGAAAATGGATTCCCTGAAATCAAAGAAATGGTTACATTATATACACCGGAGAAGAGAAAGTTGCTCACTAACGGATTTACAAACGTAACAAACTTAACTAACTGAAACTTAATTAACTAACTGAACGTAAATTGCATAAAACCGCTTCCGGTGTAATTTACAATTATGCCCTCTAATACTGTGGCATCTGGCATGTGTAGATGACGTGATTCATTTGAAGACCATTGCCTACAAGAAAAAGACCTTGTGCGGACGACCTCTATGCCGACGTCGACAAAAGTCGTCGCTACAAATTAAGCTATGCAGACAACTTGTCGTCGGTATATAGTTGACCAGATTTTTTTGACCTTGGTATCTATACCGACGACTTGTCGTCGCCATAGCTTTGGGGGGAAACGAAAAGGGTTTACGCGGTTTTCTGAAAACTTATCTCGACTACATTTCGTCGGTATTAGGTTACAAAAATATATTTTCTATTTATTTATAATTCATGTTGCAGAAAAAAGAAAACGATGTCGTTTCTTGAAAGCTATCCAGACGACATGTCGTCGGTATAGACTTTTATGTATAATAAGAAACAGATCTGTCTCTCATGCATTTGCAGCACCGCACAACTCCCGATTCTCTTAAGTCACAGGCGATTCCGGCCACCTTTTTCACCGTTGTACCACCCTTTTCACTGCCGATCTTTGGTAAATAGTTTTCTACGGTTTATTTTGTTTTTTGGTGCGGTTTTCTCTGTCGATTTGGTTAAGATTTTTGTTTATATTTTCAATTATAGGTTGCAAAGGAAGAGGGTGAGAAGTGGAAATCTGTGACAGAAGAAGTGAGCAGCAAATTTCATACATTCTTTTTCTTTCTTTTCTAATTAGCTCTTTTGTTGAAACTTATCTAATGAGTTTTTGTTTTCCAAATCTTGATTATGTTTTTTCAGGAGAAGAAAACCTTTTACTACAAGGGTTGTTGAACTTAAAACAGAATACCAAAAGGTTTTGGAGACCCCAAATGATGTTGAAAATGAAAATTATGTAAGTACTTCATGGGGTTTTTGGTTTTGTGTATTCATGATTTTTAGTGATTATAAATGGATAACATGATCTGTACTTTATGATTTATTGTAAGTACTTCATGGGGTTTTTGGTTTTGTGAATTCATGATTTGTAGTGATTACAAATGGATAGTCTGATTTGTACTTTATGATTTACAGAAGCAGAAACACTTGAAGACAATGAGGATGAGAATGAGAATGAGAATGAATCATCTCCAGAGAAAAAGGAAGTGATTGTTGATGATGACTAGAATAGTACATATATTGATTTTGGCTATTAATTGTTTATGAATCTTGTATGATGATGGTTCATATTAATATTAATGAATAGAATAGAATGTGATTTTGGGTATCTTCATGTTAATCCTTGGTTGTTTTTGGTACTAAATCTTTTTTTGTTTTGACCAAATTAGACATAGATAATGGTGTGATAAACCTTCAATTGCTAATCAGATTTTAATTGATACTACTCTTGTCCCGACGACATGTCGTCGGTACAAGTAAATAATAAAACATTATTTTTTTTTCGAAAATCAATCCCGACGAAGCTTTTGCAGACGACATGTCGTCGGTATAGGAGGTAGCTATGCAGACGACATCTATGCCGACGACTTTTTCCACCTATACCGACGGGGCTATTCCGACGACTCTGTACCGACGACATGTCGTCGGTATAAGATATCCCGACGACTATTACTAGACGTGTTAGTGACAAATCTAGTAATTTTGTTTAAACAACTTCCACAAAGCTCGATCGATTTATTATTTTTCTATATTAGCTTCTTAATAAATTATTAACTGAACAACTTTGTGTAACTGAACTGATTTATCCATATTTGGATAAGAGATTTCAAAGAATTTAAATAAATGTGTTGACATGCCTGGACACAAAAAATTAAATGGGTAAAATGAATATCGGATGGTAGAAAATCCTTGTTGGGGTTTTTATTGCTCTAACATTATATAATACCCAAAGTTACACATAGGAGTCCCTATACTATACATAAATAATAAAAATAGTATGTGCAATAAGAATTATAACAGTTAGCTAGGGTCTAATTTTTTCAACTCATTTATTGTCACCACATGATACCTAATCCAACACCAACATGTATTAGGCAATCTAACCGAGAGGTTGTGGGCCGGGTGTAACGCCCGTAGATCCGGGCTAGTCAATTTAGAGACGATAAGCATCAAAAATGACTTTTTGATGGAAGATTATTTAGAAGGATTAATCTTAACCAAGTTGAAGTATATGTCTCAAGGTTTCCGGATATATAAAGAATGCCGAAATCCGAATTATAACGAAGAAGTTATGACCTGTCGAAGTTTCGCGACAAACCGGCACGGTGCCGAATGTCGTAAAAAAGTGAGTTTTTGATAAACTACTTTTTAGCCTTAGTGATCTAAACGAAACTCGCAGTGCTCGTTAAACCGAGAGTATGTATAAAAAGAACGCCCAAATCTGACTTCGTATGAGGAAGTTATGATTTTTCGAAGTTTCGGCTTAGCAGTAGACAGCTAAAAACTCGAATTTTAGATCGAGTGATTTTTAGCCGACACGACCTAAACGAGAATCGAAGGTCTCGTCAATAGTAGCACAACGGTAAAAACACAGACGAAAACGGACGTCGGATGAAGAAGTTATGAATTTTTAACGGATTTCCTGTCCCGGTCTGTTAAAAATAATAATATAAAAATTAAAGTCAAAATTAGCCGACGAAGTCTAAATGAAAGTTGTAGAGCGTAATTTTACCTACGCGTGCATATAAATAACGTAAAAAACGGAGCTCGTATGCGAAAGTTATGGATTTTAGAAGTTTTTGCACAAAAATCGAGAAATTTCGCATAGGTGGCTTCGGCCACGTCACCCTCGCCCAAAATGTGCAACGTGTGCGAAATGGCTGAGTCATCCGAGCAGCTGGCAGCCGCGTGTCGCTTCCGGATTCGACCGAAGTCTCGGCCCTCGCACATCCGACGCGTGTGCACCCCCGTGTCCGAGCAGCTTAGTCACCGGTGATGAGGCTCGTCCGAAGCTCGACGCGTGGCCTCGCATGCGAGACGTGTCCGAGCCTCCTGCTGCCTCGTGTCCTCGGTGCTGACTCCCTTCTCTCGGCCGACTTCGGACCTCGCCTATAAATAGAAGGCTTGCGAGCCTTTCCGGGTAATTTTGAGAAATTGCCCCTTTTCACCCCCTTTTTCAATATTTTAGCCATTTCCATTTCTCCAGAAGCCCCAATATCAATTATAACCCCCAGAATACGCCCCGAAGTGCCCGAAGGCCCTATCTTTTCGGTTTCGAAGCCCGACCCTTCGCAGAGCCTGGTTTCTCAATAAAACTCCTGGTTTTATTAGAAACGATCGTTTTAGGAAACGAATTGCTGCCTGATTTTCATTAAATCAGGTGAGTATGTAGTCACTTTCATCTTACACATAGATATGAAGTATTTTATATAAAATACGTGATATGTGTATATATGTTGTTTGTTTATTTGAGATGGATGTTGAATGAATGTTTTATACATGTTTAAAATGATTTAAAATGTATATATATTTTATCTTCAAATATGTTGGGTAAAACATGGGTAGATAAAGTATGAGGGATAGAAGTACAGTATAGATGTACGTTGGTAGCTATGAATTTAGTACAGTATAGATGTACGTTGGTAGCTATGAATTTAGTACAATATAGATGTACGTTGGTAGCTACAGATTTAGTATGTTGGCAGCTATGGACTTAGTGCATGTTGTATAAACCTTGGCAACGATGTGACTTCGTGCCTATTAGATAAACCTTGGCGACGATGTGACTTCGTGCCTATTAGATAAACCCTGGCGACTATGAGACGTAGTGCCTATTAGATAAACTCTGGCGACTATGAGACGTAGTGCCTATTGTATAAACCCTGGCGACTATGTGACGTAGTGCCTGTTGTATAAACCTTGGCGACGATGTGACTTCGTGCCTATTTGACATAAATTGCTGAGGGAAAGCAATGTTGTCACCCCGGTGTTTGTTTTATTTGACATAAATTGCTGAGGAAAAGCAATGTTGTCACCCTTTTGACATAAATTGCTGAGAGAAAAGCAATGTTGTCACCTTGATGTTTGTTTGACATAAATTGCTGAGGAAAGCAATGTTGTCACCATTTTGGTTGTTTATTTGACATAAATTGCTGAAGGAAAGCAATGTTGTCACCTTATTGGTTGTTTTATGTTAGGTTGTTTTGTTTGACATAAATTGCTGAGGGAAAGCAATGTTGTCACCCTGATGTTTGTCATGTTTGACATAATTTGCTGAGGAAAGAAAAGTTGTCACCTTATCGGTTGTCTTGTTTGACATAAATTGTTGAGGAAAACAATGTTGTCACCCCTAATGAAAATCCTTAGGCTAGGTCCCTTGTGATAGTTGTTTTAGGGACGTAAGGTGAGGATAACGGGAACGGGTAATTAGGGTTGTTTTTGATTGATGAAATTAATAAATTATTTGTTGATTGATAAACTTAAAGAGTTTATTATTTATTGTGGGTTGAAAACCCTATATGCTCACCAGGCTTCCAAGCCTGACCCACTCAGCTTTTTATATTACAGGTAGTGGACCCCGAGCATAGTCGGATGATGACAATGAGTGATTTATTGATTATAGGCCAGTAGTTGTAAATAACTGTGTAAGGCTTATAATGTCTTGTTTATGCTTTTGATCTGTATCGGAACATGACATCCCGAGGTTTTGATATAAAAGGAAATTATATATTTCTTAAAGAAAGGTTTTGACAAACTTTTATCATATTTTGTTTTGGGGACCAA